AAGTAGTCTTTCAACTTTGTTCTTCTCCTTTAATAGCATGTCAGCTATAGTGTGTATTTTCCTTCTCCAAATAAACGTTAGAATCAATTTGTTGATATCTCTAAAAAAAACTTTTTGGGATTTTTGTTGAGATTAAATGCAATTTATAGATCAAAATGAGAAACACTGACATCTTGACAATATATTCTCTTCCTACCCTAGAACATGGAATATGTTCATTTATTTAGTTCTTTGATTTTATTAGTCAGGGTTTTGTAGGTTTCCTTATATAGATCTCGTATATACTTTGTTAGATTTATACCCAAGTATTTAATATTGCTAATATAAATGATGTTGCGTTTTTAATTTCAAATTCTATTCATTGTTGGTATATAGAAAAGCCATTAACTTTTGTATATTCACCTTATGTCCTGCAACTTCTCCATAATCACTTCTTAGTTTCAGAATATTTGTGTTGTCGTTGTTGTTGATGCTTTTGGATTTTCTACCTAGGTTATCACACCATCTGCAAACAAAGACAGTTTTATGTCTTCTTACCAAATCTGTGTACCTTTTACTTTGTTTTCTTGCCTTCTTGCATCAGCAAGGACTTCCATTACAATATTTAATATTACAATATTAAAAACCCAATGTACATTCTAAGATTGTACCTGAAAATTTCAGAGGTTTATACCATCTAGTATGATGTTAGCTATTAGGCATTTTAATTTTGTTGAAGAGAAAGTGGGAGTGAAAGCTGGTAGAGTGGCAGAGGGTGAAAGAGAAGGAGTCTCATGCAGGCTCCATGCTCAGTGCAGAGCCTGACATGGGGCTCATTCTCACTTCCCTGGGATCATGACCTGAGCTGAAATCAAGAGTTGGACACTCAGCCTACTTAGCCCCCCAGGTGCCCCAGGCTTTTCCAAAAAAGGTAGCCTTTCTCAAGTTGAGAAGTTGCCCTTCTAATCCAAGTTTCCTGAAAATTTTCATCATGAATGGGTGTTAGGTTTTATCAACTGCTCTTTCTGCATCTATTGATCTGACCATGTGATTTTCTGTGTTAGTCTGTTGATGTGATGCGCTGCATTAGGTTTTCAAATGCTGAACCAGACTTTCTAGGATTAATCCCACTTGGTCATGGTATATAATTCTTTTTCTATTTTTTGGATTTAAAACTTTATAATAAGCTGATGTTCACACACACAGATACACTTTTTTCTCCTTCTAGAGGAGGGTTGTTAAACATCCACTAGCACACCACTAGCGACAACTTTCTACTGTACTTCTTACTTGATTCATTGAAGGCTTAGTTAAAAAGAATATAATTTTCAACAAAACTCGGATGTTCAGTCAGAATGAGAAGGCAGGCATACAAGCTTAGAATGCTTTGGGTCACTCTCCTATGAAAATGCTCAACTATTTTTTCTTTTCTGTCTTTTTTAGAGCTTCAACTCTTCTCCTTGACTTATAGGAACAGTAATACATTGCTATCATAGAGCACTGTACAAGATCAGCCTTTCTACTGAGCAGCTAGGAAAAATTGCCTTTGGTCATAAAGGCTAGGTTATGGCTGACTAAATATTTCATGAATAACTTTTGTTAACAATTGGTAATGCATTTTCCAACTTGGAAGAAGTCCAAAAGATACAAACTTTCTTTTACTTTTCTGCTTTGTCTCTTGTTTCCTCATACTTTATAGCATTATTTCCTCCAGGGTAATTCTGCCACCTGCAGGAAATGAGTAGACAACTTCCCACTATAAACTCAAGCTTTTAAATATTGTGTGTTTTTTTTTTTTTTTTTAAGAGACACAAGTTCTTAGTAGTGCCCTGAGGTCAATGTGATTTTCATAGAACAGTATCACATGTATTATTATAGGAGTTAACACATATCTCATATCTCAGGATAAGAGATTGGTGTCATTTCTCCCTTTAGGTTTATGAAGCTTGTACTCCATTTCTCCCCCAGCAAACTAATTCAGCGCTGTGTACATTTTAGTGTGTAATGTGCTGCAAAAGAAAAGCTCTTGATTGTACTTCCTTTCCATTTCCAAACATCTCTATTTTTTTTTTTTATTTTAGAGGATGGGGGAGAATGATAGAAATAGAGAGAGAGAGAGAGAGAGGGATTGAGGATCTCAAGCAGACTCTATGCTCAGTATGGAGTCTGACACAGGGCTCGATCCCACGACCCTGAGATCATGACCTGAGTTGAAATCAAGAGCTGGACACTCAATTGCCTGAGGCACTCTGGTGCCCCCTAAACATCTCTATTTTATAGAGAAGAGCTTTGAAAGTGTCCTGCACCTATGTTCTTGTAGAAAAATGTAGCATGAGTATCTCCCCCTATAATCATTCATTCTTTCGTTCTGTTTCCGTTTGGATGAATAGATCCAGTCCATGTGTGTCAATTTTGTTTCAAATGCTTCTATGACAGTGTTTAGAAAATGTGGTAGAGGGGTGCCCGGGTGGCTCAGTCAATTAAGTGTCTGACTCTTGATCTCGGCTCAGGTCATGATCTCACAGTTTGTGAGTTCGAGCCCCATGTCAGGTTCTGCGCTGACCGTGTGGAACCTGCTTCAGATTCTGTCCCTCTTCCCCTCCCCAGCTTGTGCTCTCCTCTCTCTCTCTCTCTCAAAATAAATAAATACACTTAAAATTTTTTAAAATATGTGGTAGAATCCATTTTACTTTGGCCCTGCTCTGGCAGCAAAAGATCATTGAAAGAGGATTTCATGGGCCCGATGATGCAGCTCCCTCCATGGGGCACTGGTCCCCCTCTCCTTTCCAGGGCAGAGACTGAAAACAGCTGGCCCCCAGCTTCCCGGAGCTGCTCGCTAGCTTGACAGACCAGGACGTCAGACACCATTTGTTGTTTTTCATGGTGGAGGCAAGGTGATTAAAACAAGATAAACATGCCAGAAGAAGAAAGAAGGAAAATACCTCAGAATAATTTGGGTGTGGAAAAAAAGTCCCCTTTGAACTTCCTAAAGAAAGACTCAGGGGACTATGTATAATGGGGATGAGTCTCTGTGGTTAATATTAGGAAGAAGGTCATGTTACAAGGGAGGAAATATAAGGAGAATACACATCTCTGAGGAATTATAAAAGAATATGGAGAATTTCATCTTTATGCAGAATTACAGCACATCGTTTTTCACATTCATCGAGTCCCAAAGAATTTTTTTCTGCCATGGCTGGTATGCCTTGTTTATTTATTTATTTATTTTTTAGCTGATTTATGCTTACTTAGAAAATCCTCTTCCTCTTGCCACTGATTTTCCCTCTTAAATTTAGAGATGTCATTCTTTATCCAAAGTGAATAGATCACAAGCCTCTTTAATAATAGATGTCTGAAGAATATTTCTTTAAGCTTTTAACTTTTAATTGGTTTTACAGTTAAAGAAATATTCACAGATAACACCAAGTTCCTGTACACCCCTCACCAGCTTTGTCTTTGTTAATATCTTATGCCCCACGGCACATTTGTCACACTAAGGCACTGACACTGATATATTATTTTTAACTAAACTTCAGACATTAGTAGGGTTTCATAAGCCTCTCCACTAACATCGTCTTTCTGCTCCAAGATCTAATGTTGGCTACTATATTCCATTTAGTCCTTTCTGGTCCATGACAATTTCTCAGTGTTTTTGTAGTTTTCTTGTGGAGGACTGACCAGGTGCCCTGAAGAATGCCCTCATTCTGGTTTTATCTGATGCTATCTCATGGTGAGGCTGGGCTTAAAGAATTTGCGGAAGGATATCTATTGCAGGTGATATGCCCTTCTCCTCACATCATGTCAGGGGTAGATGATACTCACACGACATGAGTGGGGCTGTTTACTTTCATCATTTGGTTAAGCCAGTGTTTGCTAGATTTCCCCACTCTTTTTTTCTTTCCCATACTCTATTCTTGGAAAGGGGGTCACTAAGTTCAACCTATTCTGAAGTGAGATTGCGGGGGAGGGAGGTAAGCTCTACCTCTTGGCGGGGTAAAGAGTCTTTTACTCGTTCTATGACTGTATTCAAGGTCAATAAAACATGGGATCAGTTTAATTGACAAGTTGGGCAGTTCAATGAATTCTATGTCTATTCACATTCACAAATTTCAGAAATATAAGGATTTGCATCTAATTTTCTGAAGCTGTTGAAATGCCGTTTCTTAACACTGTCTAAAATCAGTTCCCTGGTGGGATGGCCAGGGATTCCAGAGCAAACTCACCTGGCAAGCCCGTGGCATCGTCTAAAGAAGTGAGTCCTGTGTCAAATGATGAAAGTTAAAAGTCATGTTCCCAACTATTCAGGTTTTCCCACATTGCTCCATCCAGATTTTAAGCCCAGATATGCCCGGTTTCACCCTCGAGTAGTGCAGGCCTTCGTAGATTTCTGTGTGAACGAATTCCAACGTGTGGTGCAATGAAGCCTCCTGAGACAGAGGCTCACCTCCACCTGGAGTCAGCAAATGTCTGTGCTCTAGGTGTGTCTGTGACAGCTTTGCCAGAACAGTGTTTTTTTAAAGGCGTTCTGACTTTTGTTTCTGATTTTTTCAAAGCCATGGTGATCTGAAATAATAATTGGAGTTAGTAGTCACAGATTTAATCATCTGTTAACCGGTGAGACTGTGTCAATTACCTAGTTTATTGAGCTCCGGAACAAGAGTTCAGAATTTTTTTTGACCCTGAGGATCCTTCTGATTTTCCTTTCATTTCTTCCAGATAATTATGAGCTGATGAACACCATGACGAATCAGATAAAACTAACCCATCAGGTGTCCCCTTCTCCATTCCCTGTTATCAAGCTAGACAAATGTTATGCATCTTTTTAAGACCCTGTGATAGGCATTTTTGAGTTAGCCTCATTCCTAACTTCATTTAATACACCAGTACTCTTTTTTTTTCTCTTTTTTACACACTTCTAATTTATATTAATTTCAAGAATTTTATGTATCACTCTAAATCCTTTGGAAAGAAGATGAAGCAAAACTACCGACCAAAAATCAAAAACCGTGGGGGATACTCACGAGAGGATCAGGCATTCAGGTGGAGCTCGTGGGTACTTGGAGATCTGTTATTCATAGCCCAACATGCTCAGGTATAAGCTTACAGCTTCTTGGTCGCTTTTTGCTGGAAGCCTGATACCACACAGAGTAGAGGTCAACTGCTGACTTAGACCAGAAGTCCCAAGCTGGGAGGGCTTTTATTTTTTTAAATGAATGTCTTCCAGATGACACTGTCCTACCCTTCCGTGCAGAGCTAGAACACAAACAAAATGTGTATCGTAAGGGTCATGTGGTAGAGAGGGACTGGGCATAATCTGATTCATCATTTGGCTGTGAAGCCCACTTTGTTCAGCTCCCCACTCTGGAACAAGGACAGACTCTTAGCCCAGGGCCAGGATGAAGGGTCCAGCCCTATCACTTTCCCTGGCTTGGGTCAGAGAAGCTGCAGACACAGCCAATGGAATGATTCCTCCCATGTCCCCAGGGATCCAGTTTTCTCAGCTGCAGATCCACCAAGGGCATGAAAAAGGGAAGAAAGCAAAAAAAGAAATCGTCTCTGCTAATTCAATTGTGGGTTTCCTTGGATCAAAGACAAACTACTATAGCATCCCAAGTTCAAGCTTTTACTCATAGGATGCTGGAGGCCCTCTCCTCATGATTTACATTAAGGCCTATATATGGTACACATGTGGCCTCTAGAAGTATATTTAAAAGATTCTTTTTTATCACTGGCAAACTGAAGAATAACATACAAGGAGGTCCCAATCTGATGATGTTTAAAAACTAGAAGGTTGGAGGAAGCTAGGAGTTGAGTAGACAAAAGAAGAAAGAATTACATATTAAACACCAAGTAGGACAGAATCCCAAAGGAGCGAATAAAAAGTTCCAGCAAATGCAGCCGTGCCATTTGAATATGTAGCCAGATAATTAAAATGTCAGGAAGCTTGATTCCCAGGACTTCAAGACAGAGGGAGGAAATGTTAACACACACACACACACACACACACACGGACACATGCACACATACACACACGTGCACGCACACATGCACACATACATTGGCAGGCTTGGGGATCATTTTTCAAATAACTGTTTTCAACCCCTGTGTTAGAAAACATACTTCACTGGGGAGAAATAAGTGAAAAATAATGGGCATCATTTTCTCAATTTTACTGTTGGACACAGGTGGTAACTACAGATCTTCACATACAAACATACTGTTCAAGAAACAGAATTTTCTGAATATGTTATAACTTGATTTCCATTTCAAACCTATGTTCCATCAGTGGAAGAACCTTAATCATAATCATCTTTAAGTAATCTCATTCTACTCAAGTGTCCTCAATAGAAGCCACCCCCTCATCCTCCACATCCCCCCTTCCCCTCTGCCCTCCTGGCTCTTTCTCTTAGGGTTAGTTCCTAGCTCTTTATTATTTTCTCCTTGTGGTCAGAAAGAGACAAGAACAGTGAAAAATTCATCAGTTAAATTTTCTCCTTAGCAACTGGTGTGCTTTGAATGAAAATGAGCACAGATCAGGTTATTTTCTGGTGTTTTCTATGTAAACTGTTGTCTCTTTATCGCTTTACAGTTTATCAAGATCATTGTGTTGTGCATGAGTTATTGGAGTTAAGGACTTGGCTTCTCTCTTTTTTTTAAAATATTTATTTAATTTGGAGAGAGAGAGAGAGAGAGAGAGAGAGAGAGAGAATGAACAGTTGGGGAAGGGGCAGAGAGAATGGGAGATATAATATCTGAAGGAGGCTCTAGGCTCTGCACTGTCAGGACAGAGTCCAATGTGGGGCTCAAACCCATGAACCATGAGATTATGACCTGAGCCGAAGTCACTCAACCGACTGTGGCACCCAGGCGCCCCAAGCACTTGGCTTCTCTTGCCTTTTAGAATCTGCAATGTACCACCTATATAAACACTTGGAAAATAATTAGGCCTCAAGTTCCCTTTCAGCCAAGTAAGTAGAAATCAGATAAAAACTAAGTAGCAGGATCAGGGCTGGGGATAACTATTGTTTTGACTTGCTAGAATCCTCTTATTCTGACAACTGCCCCTTCCCCCCATCCACACGTATTACTGTCTTTCTTACACGAGTCGGTGACTGACCAGATCTGAGCCAACGCCAGTCCTTTCCCTGGTGATGAGTAACTGGAGCAGGAGTAAGCAACTGATCCAGGGTGAGCTTCTCAGTGTCCCTGGGATTTTGGAATCAGGACTAAGAAGACAGGTATGTTGGAGAGGAAGGTATAAATTTGGACATTGGTAGTGTGTTCTTCTGTGTGCAGGCGCATGGCAGAAAACACTACACAGCAGTAAGCAAATAAAACAAAAAGCTGAAACACAACACATACCCTAACAGTACTTAAGCCCTGGGGTTCAGTTGTCCCTGAGGCTCCATTTCAAATCTGCATTTCAGGATCCTGAGGAACACTCTGATCCTTTCCTCTTTTGGCTTAAGTTTACATTTATGTTACTTGCAACCAAACAAGTTGTAACTAATACTGTCCATTGCCTGGTATGCCAGGCTAATTCAGATTGGCTCTGTTTCTGTACTGCAGAGAGTGTGACTCGGTATTTCTTACTAGCCACATGAAGCCATTTCTCTGTCCATGTGGATTTGTTTAGGAGTTGAAGCAAAAGAAGAAAACCACGTGTTTATAACTTCAGTACTCCAAATGGAAAAATTCATTCTCCGAGTCTTTCTAATAATCAGAGAGATATTACAAATGATACAGGCTCATAGTCATGGACTCTAATTTTAGAGTTTGACTAATAAATAGTTTAAACAATAATGAGATTTTTTGGGAGGTCTGTTTAGTTAAGAAGAGTTCACTGAAGGCTTGAGAATGAAATGTCTGCCGTATGTCTGTGTGTGTGTACATACATATATATGTATATATAAAGGTTTTCTAGAATATATATTTTAGGCCCTAAGAAGAAGAAGAAGAAAGTGTTTGTCTACAGGTATGGCTTATTCCATTTATTTAATTCTCATTTTCCAGAAACAAAAAAAGTCCACCTAGAAAAAAAAAGGAAAACCATAAATCTCTAATCTGTTGGCTGACGTGACTTTTATTAAGGCAGTTAAGAGTCATTCAAATCCCAACTCAGTTGTGTGACTTGGGTCATTTACTTAATCTCTCAGTGACTCAGTTTTATTCTCTATAAATATGTACATCATTGGATGGTTGTGAGTTGAAATGAAGTGGTATATCTACATCACATAGACTACACTTAATGTACACACAGTAAAGGCTCAATTAATGTTAGCTATTATTTTCTCAGAAATTCTCAAAAATGTTGTCATTCTCATATAGAGCTTTGGTTGTTTTTGAAATTGCTCCTAAACAAATGGATCTTTTGAATAGCTTCTAAACAAATGTATATTTCACAATACTCCATTTACCCCTGTTTCTCTCAAGATATTTCAAAACAAAAATAAAATTTAAATTGAAGGGGTGAAAGGTATTCTATGCAACTTTTAGGAAGAGAAGGGGCTGCCACAAAGTCTAACGAGAGAACGCTGACATTCTAGCATATTTGGGAATTTGTGCATACGGTAGTAGACTTATCTTGTTTTTCCCTATCCTTTCTTTTCCTTCCTTTTGGTAACAGAACCCCTATTTCATCTGAACAACATCCTGCATTATTCTGTTGGGAGTGAAAGCGAGCCTTGTCTATAAAGCCACATGATGGGCATATGACCCAGGCAGTGCTAATCAGAATGTCAGGTCCAAAACGATTAAGAAAGGCACTCTCTGTGGTGGCAGGTTAATATTTGGTTGCTGGCCATCCTCCAGCCATGTGAAGAGAGCCACTGGATAAAGACATGATTTACTGACAGTTCTCTTAAGACCCTGAATCCCAGCCATACTTGAGTAAATGTATCCTTGGACTTTTGATGACATGGCACTCAAAGATTCTCAAGTATTTTTGTCTCTTATATTTTTCCTTATGCTATTTTGAGTATAGTTATCACTTCCAGCTGAAAGGGTTCCAGTGATTATACCTATTTCTGTGTTGTCTTTTGGAGGCTGAAGGAATCTATCCTCTGCTTGAACGAGAAGGAGATCCATTTTGACCCACTTTCCCCTCAGTAGAAAAAAGCTAAGAAAGGCATGTGAGTATGTTCTTACCTAGTCCAATTATTCAACTTAGAGATTGAAGAATTAGGTTAAGGAGAAAAGACTGGAAAAATATCAGGAAATAGATATTAATTTCAAAAATCTTTAATAAATCACTGTCAATCTTAGATTTATTATAGTCAAAAATGGAACCATCTTTGAAAGATATGCTTAAGAATATGATTTCCACATTCATCTAGCAAGAGATCACGTAGACACGAAGTACGGTGAGCTCAGATCATAAAGCATTCTCAGGCTTAGCTTTTAGGTCCAGCAGGAACACATGCTGGTATTTCATTGAAAAGTGCATTGGAATTTAGCTGTGGCCTTAAAGAATTCTTGAGGATTAAATACAGGGATATGCAAAACAAACAATTTTTAACTGAGCCAGAGTAACGAGAAACAAAGAATATACTTCTCCACTCTGCACCCCACCCCCATCCCCATCTGTGTATCTTTAAAATAAGTCATTCTCATCCAGCTGTAGGTGTTGGGCATAGAGCAAGCAGAATGGGCTCGGTGACTTAAAAGCTTTTTAAAGGGGCACCTGAGTGGCTCAGTTGGGTAAAAGTATCTGACTCTTGGTTTCAGGTCAGGTCATGATCTCACAGTTTGGGAGTTCGATCCCGGCATCTGGCTCCATGCTGACAGTGCAGAGCCTGCTGAGGATTCTCTCTCTCCCCCTCTCTCTGCCCTTTCCCTGCTTGTGCTCTTTCTCTCTCTCTCCAGTTAATAAATAAAAACTTTTAAAAAAAAAGGTGCTGTTTACAATGCCTATTAAAACTCTCTTCTCTAGGAATAGAAAGTTTCTGGCAGAGATTTGGACTTCTATCCCTGCACTGTGAACCATTGTGCTGTCCACCCATCCATCCTCTAAAACTCACTCGTATTAATGCAGTTATTATCCATAAGTAACTGAGGCAGAGATTACTTTAAATGACTCCCAAAAAACTTACAGTGAGATTATAGCAGAGATGAAATTGATATCCCTATA